AGGAGAAGAGGGGAGAGGGGAGAGAGAAACATTGATGTGAGAGAGACACATTGATTGGTAGTCTCTAGCACATGTCAGACCAGGGCTGGGGATGGAACCTGCAACCCAGGTACATGCCCTTGATTGGGAATTGAACCCAGGACCCACTGGTTTGCGGGCCCATGCTCTAACCACCGAACCACACCAGCCAGGGCTCATCTGTGCATCTTGAAGGCTGGCAGAGGGCAGGAACACCCAGCAATTGTCCACAAATAGGTGGCTGGTTAGTAGGACTCTTCGAAGCAGTACAGAAAAGGCCTGTGAGGCCTGTCCTGAAAGGGATTTCAAGGACTGAACTTTCACTTTATAAGTGGGGACACAGAGGCCTTTGGGCGGAGAAGGACTTGCCCAAGTTAAAACAATGAGGAGACAACGAGGAGTGTCAGGGCAGGGAGAAGCCAGGCTCTAGACAGCCTCAGTGCCCCTCCCACACACAACACAGCCACACAGAAGCTGGCCCTGATTCATAATTTAATGGCTGTGCAGGTGCTGGTCTCTTATTTCTGCCGCTCACGGGCCCACTGCTCTGGGGTCAGGGTTTTCTGCTCAAAGGCATGGATGTGCGGGAGCTCTTCTGCTAGACACGCGTTCACCAGCCTGCGGGAGAGACGTTGTTAGGAAACCGCAGAGCCTAAGTCGGTCCTCGAAGCTAGGGTGACCCAGAAGGCCGGAGGTGTCCCCAAGTTGTGGCGCCCAGGACCTGGGACAGGAGAGGTAGAGGGCCTAAGCCTCAATACCCCCGGCGGGGCCGAGAAGGCGAAGTCCTTGGGGCTGTAGCCCACAGGGCTGGGCCGCATTGCCGGGGCGAGGGAGTTGGGTTGCGGGGTCCCGGGGGCTGTGGGGGCGGGACAGCGCTGAGCGAGGGGTTCCCCGGGCCTCGGGCCTCACCGGTGTCTCTGGAGCAGCGGCTTCCCCTCGAACTTGGCCGACACCACCAGGACTCGGAAGCTGGACGCGCAACGGTTGGGAGTGGTGTCCTCCACCTCCTAAGGGGCAGAATCATGGGGATGGTGCCAAGCCGCCCACCCAGAAGCCTTTTGCCCTCGCCGGGCAGGTCCAGGCCGCGCAGCTCACCACGTGCTCTGCCTGCAGGTCCCGCCGCAGCTTCTCCCGCAGGTGCTCGGCGCTGAGTTCCATGGCGGCCGGCGGGGGCGGCCCGGCGCGGGCAGAACCCCCGATCCCCCCGCGGGTCGCGCTGCTTCCACCCTCACTGCTGCCACTTCTGCCAAAAACACATTTCTTAACATGCACTTTTATGTTTCCATACATGCCTGCATTTCTGAAAGCAAATCCTCCACTTTTCAGTACTTCCTAATTGGCACATGGAATTACTGATGCAAGGACATAATAGACCTTTGTAATAGCTTATTTCAAATATATCCATATAAAGAAAACACTTATGAAATGTCATGAATCCTACTTTGATCTTCCATCACTATCTCTTCTTTTTGGGCTCCTGGCTCCAGCCAGGAGAGGGTGCCCGAACCCGCGCTGCTGCAGCCGCCACCAAGGGCTTTTCCGCAGACTAGTGCATCGCGGCCCTGGCAACCCAACCCTCCCCGACTCAGAGGCCACATCAACCAACCTCCACGTCCTGATGGGTCCCGAGGGGGGCGCGGCGAGGCCCGGGTGCTTCTTCGGCGTCTACCTGCTCTATTGCCTGAACCCTCGGCACCGGGGCCGCGTCTACGTGGGGTTCACCGTCAATCCGGCTCGTCGGGTGCAGCAGCACAACGGAGGCCGCAGAAAAGGCGGGGCCTGCGGACCAGCGGGCGCGGGCCCTGGTAAGTGGGGTGGGCAGGCAAGAGCGGACCAGCGGGCGCGGGCCCTGGTAAGAGGGGTGGTCACGTAAGAGGAGGACTTCAAGGAGGCGGCGGGCCCGGGGCAGAGTCAGTGACAGTGGGCGGGGCCGGTGTGGCGCTGAGAACTGGGCCTTGGGGTGGCTGGTGAGGTGTGTGGGTCTGTCTCCGGGGAGGAGCCTGTGGGGAGGAGGGGCCTGTGGGGAGGATT